AGTCCTCGCGAGCTGACCTAGCAGAGGCGTCTGAAGGGCCACTGTCCTCCACACACCCCTGCCCCAGCCTGCAGGACACGGGCTGGCGGCTTCCCTCTGCCGCCCTGGCGGGCACAGGTGCAGGCACGGGCTCAGCCTCACAGGCCCACGGCCAGCTCCCCAGCTACGCACCTTCCTCCCCACCCCGAAGCTGGAGCTCAGGTGTCTCCATGGCTGTCCCCATGGAATGGCCTTGCCGGAGCAGCTCAGATCCTGCAGAGGAAGGTCCAGTCAGAGCACCCGCTCAGAACTCAGAGCCCCCTGAGGACAGCCAGCCAGGACTGAGGCAGCCCAGCGAGCGTGGGCCCTTAGATCACCGCTCAGAACTCAGAGCCCCCCGAGGACAGCCGGCCAGGACTGAGGCAGCCCAGCAAGCCACGTGGTAGCCCAGTGCCTTCCCGACTGAGGCAGCCCAGCAAGCCACGTGGGAGCCCAGTGCCTTCCCCAGGCCACCCCTCGCCCTCCCACTACACCCATTTAATAAATGAATGAGTCTTGGTTTACTTAATGAACAGCTACCATTACATCAGCCTTAAAATGAGCAACGAAAAAAGTTACCTAAGAGAGTCTGAGGAGGGGAGGGGAAGGGAGGTGCCCCCTGCATATGCTAAACCCCGGAGACCCTGAGACTTGGCTGGGACTCAGCCCTCCTGGTCCATCTGTCCGCGTGTCTCAGGACACTGACCAGGTGTGGCCTGTGGGCAGCTGGCCCCCAGCCACGTGCTCCTGACGTCTGACCAGTGCGTAGTGATGACCTCCAGAGGTTGCTCAACCTCTGACACCTGAGGGGACAGCATTTACACGGGGGAGGGCGCGTTCGCCAGGGGAAGCGAGCCCACGCTCAGCAGGTGGGGGGACTGGAGGTGTGCGCAGGTCCACGCGGTTATGCAGGCGTCGGCCAGCGTCTGTGTCTGCCTGTGAGCGGTGCTGCCTACGTGCGAGCTCGTCTCTCCACACCTGTGGCTCCGAAGTGCCCAAGGACAATGTAACCCCTGCTCCGAGGTTGACTGACTGCGTGTGTTCATTCGATTGTTTGTTTGTTTAGGCTTTTTGCCACAGAGCCTGTGTGCTGGCCAGAAATAGAGAGAAGGGAAGTGAGAAATCACCCCCAGTGGGGGATGGCCACACCGCAATCCCTTCTCCTCGGTTATTTCTTGGGATTTGGGCATGCACGCACACATGCCTGGTGTGATTTTCAAACCTCTGGGCCCGGGACTCAAACCGCGCCCAGCGCCGTGCGAGTCCAAACCTGCCACTGGCTGGCCCCAAACGTCTCTCTGTAACATGGTAGCAACTGACACTGGAGAACTGCAGGGCATTTGTAGAGAGGCAAAGAGGCATTTCACAAACAGCTGGCTTTTCCTGCTTCCTGTTCCAAAGCATCATTGAATTGACACTTGGTGGGGTAGAGCACTCGCACCCACGTATAGGGAAGAGCCGTTGAGCATTTGCAGTGTCGACATTGAATTGACACTTGGTGGGGTAGAGCACTCGCACCCATGTATAGGGAAGAGCTGTTGAGCATTTGCAGTGTCGCCATAGCTTGAAAATGTTCTTGAACTTTCCCGACTTCTGTACCCCATCTATCATGATGACAATCTGCAGAAAGTGCATGTTCCAGCCCCCGGGTCCCTGAGAGGTCTCTGGAGGCCACAGATCGGGCACATCAACCTCCCACGAAGGCATCCCGGGCGCTAAGGCCACGTGACCCCAGGCAGCCCTGAGCCAGGGAGACAGCTCAGTAATCACCTGTCCCAGGGGGAGCTCTTCCTGGGAAAGTGGTAAGTGACCCTTTGAGGCTTTACTACATGGGAAACTAGTAACGTGGGACAGGCCTGAGACATGACACGACCCTGAAGCCAGCGGGCCTCGGCCAGTCCTGACGCGTCATGGTGGGGGGGCCTGTCATCACCTGCCAGCGTCATCACACAGGTGCCATTCGACGAGCCGGAGCCCGTCTGCTCTTGGAAAGAATGCGGCCTGGCTCTGCAGAGCCTGACTCCAGACCCGAGTATGAGAAAAGTGGGAAAGATGAAAAAGCAATCAGAAAAGGAGCGTGAGAGCCTCACGGGTGGCCCATTCCACCCATCCCACCCGGGGGGAGCTTCTTACAGCCCTCACAGTCCCAACCAGACGTGGAGGAGGGCAAGTACTTTATCGGAATTATAGTTCCCACAGAGGAAGTCTGAAAACCACTGGCCACGTCCAGGCCAGTGTGAGATTTCTGAGACGAAGGTACGGGGCCAGCCCGGGGCCTGCTGGTTAAGGTGCTGGGTTCCACACGGCTGCAGTGCAGTTCAAGTCGGGCCCCAGGGGCCTGAGAAACCCGCCTTGAGAGTCATGCCAGGAGCGTGTGTGTGCGTGCGCATGCCCGAAAGCCACAGAGGGAGAGACAAAGGAGATGCCATTGCGGGTCGTCATTCTCCACGAGGGGTGCTTTCCCTCTCCTTCTCTCTCCAGTGAGCGTAGGTGCCCTCTGGCAAATTAACAAAAAATAAATAAAATTTATATACATGTCATTTTTGCTATAGGGCATATGCACTTGCCAGAGAATGAGAGAAAGTGAGAAATCACCCCCAAGGTGATGGCCACACTGCAATCCCGTCTCCTCCATCCTCCTCGGGATTTTAGGCACACGTGCAGGTACACAAGTCTGCTGTTTCTCAGAACACCAGAACTCCACTTGAGAGATTTTTGCTATAGGGTATGTGTACTCACCAGAGACAGAGACAGAAAACAAGAAATCACCCCCTGAGGGAGGACCACACCAGTCCCTTCTTCACTCTCCTCTCGGGATCTTGGGCACACGCGCACACGCGCACACACACACAAACACACACACACACACACTTGGCATTGTAAGCTGCCTAGTCCGGGACTTCCAGTCAACTGGTCAACTACATGGGAGTCCAGCGACGACGTAACCCTTACGCCATCTGCTGGTCCCAGCTCACCAGTTTAACCCGTGAATGGGGGGGTCCGAATCACAGCAGCCCTCACCCTCCACCACACCCTGCTGACAGGCAGCCTTGGCTCTGGAGCGCCCTCCCGGGGCGAAAGGAACCTCACGGCCGCCTCGGGCTGCTCGCAGACCCCCCGTTCTGCACTGCTGCCCACACTAGCATCCAATCTCCCGAAATCCTGCCTGGGGCGAGTTTGTCTCCAAGCTAGTCTATTAACTGACTCTCGTCTGCTTACCTCTGCTTACATTAATAACGATAACTCGCGATCTCGCCCGGCTTGTCGTGCTGGGCCCCGTCTTCCACGTTTTCAGCCCAGCACGACTCGGTTTCTTCACACACCCTGTATTTGTACATACTGATCTGAAATATTCTGTACTACTGGCTATACTTTTAAACATTGTCTATTGATTTCACTGCATTTGGTAAAGATCCAGGAGAAAAGGCTTAATAAGCTTTGAAATAGAAAGTCACGCCAAACCTCCATAGCACCACCTGGTGGCACCTCACGGGAACTGCTCACTTTTCAATGGACGTAAGGAAAAGCCGGCCTCGAGGCCTTGTCACCTTTGTACGAGCTTCTGCCCTCCTGGCTCGGGCAAGGTTTTAAAATATGGCCAAATAACAGTGTGTAGTTACTACTGGGTCGACCGTGACGGCCGAGGAGCACACGCAGACCTTGTTCCCTTCCTCAGGGCGTGGGGTGGTGCAGCCCTGCGCCCCACGCCTGGGGGCACCGTAGCTCGGACGTCTCCTTCCCTTTTTACCTGTGCGTACGAGCACGCGACCCGGTGCACGGTCTCACCTACTGACCGGCTTCCCCAGGGAGCACGCCGAGGGGAGCCCGCATCCGCATCCGTCTTCCTCACCGCGTCCTCGTAAACTACTCCACTCCCCAGCCCCGTTTGCTGCTGTAGGGCCCGTGCGCTCACCAGAGACAGAGTGAGCAAGTGAGAAATCCCCCAGCGGGATGGCCATGCCGTAACCCCTGCCCCTCCGATTTCTTCTCAAGATTTTGGGCACGCACACACGCCCGCCATCATTTTCAAACTGCCCTGTCTGGGACTCAAACTGTGCAGTTGTCCATGTGGGAGCCAGGGCCTTAACCTCCACACCACCTGCTGGCCCCCACACTGTTTTCAACAATTATTCAATTGTATTTATTGTTACCTTAAAATCTGCTGTGAGGCACATGTGTCCACCGGAGAGACAAGGCAACATGAGAAAGCAAGCCACCGGGTCCAGGACTCTGCCACGGTCGGCCACGTGGGAGCCAGTGCCTTCGCCAGGCCACCTCTCGCCCTCCCACTAAACCCATTTAATAAATGAATGAGTCTCGGCTTACTTAAATAACAGCTACAATTACATCAGCCTTAAAATGAGCAACGAAAAAAATTACCTAAGAGATTCTCCTGCAGGCTTAAAGATCTTGGCCCAAGGGTAGGCCGCCATCAGAAGCCGTGGCTACGGCGCCCAGGGAGGCCGGGAGGCCGGGAGGCCGGCCTCGGCCAGGGACATTGTCACACCTGTTCAGAACATGTCCACTACAGAAAAACACCTGAAGGGAACTCTCACTTGGCACAATCGCACGCCCAACTCGGCAGCACTCAGACAGCCCACGCGTGCACACGTACAGGGATGAGGGGCCACCTCGCACATGCTGAGACTGCAGGTTGCTCAAAGTAACGAAACCGAGGGGCGAGATGAGGCTAAATGGTTTAGACTGGGGTTGATGCTGTTAAAAACAAACATGGGGACCAGCAGTTGATGTAATGGCTATGTCGCTGGACTTCCGACTGCGGTTCAAGTCCCGGGCCCGGTGGCTTAAACTCACGCCGGGTGTGTGTGTGTGTGTGTGTGTGTGTCCCGGATCCCAAAAGAAGGGAATGCAGTGTGGCCATCCCCCTGGGGGGTGACTTCTCGCTTTCTGTCTCTTTCTGGCAAGTGCATGCACCCTATAGCAAAAACCTCTCCAAAACACACACACATACACACACAGTATTAATTAAAAAATTATTTATTTCTGCTCCTCTCACACGTCCTCTGGCCCCAGGACAGTTTCCCACACGACTGAAACAACAGATCACATACTGTTCAGAGGCAAATCACCGCAGGCGAGGCTGGCCAGGGCCTACAGCTCTTGGGATCTTGCTTCCTGATGAATTTCTGAAAACCAGAACAGCCAGCTCCTGAGATGTCAAGGGGGTTGTAAAAATAATCACTTTATTCAATATTACAGTTGCAGTAATGGAGTATGTTTTCTTCAAGAAACGAAAAACTAATAGGAGAATGCCGCTCCGTGTGGCCGGTTGTCAGTACCGAAGTGCTGCAGGAACTTGTGACAGGAGACATTAGTCCGAGCTTCGGGGGCGCGTCCTGTCTTCCCAGACACCTTGTTCTGCGCTCAGCACTGCCTTCCGCACTTCGTGGAGGGCTGGCGGCTTCACTATTCAGACAGGAGCAGACCCGGCAGCCACGCTTCTCCCCACGGCACGCTAGCCCATCAGATAGCCCCTGTGGGAACAAACGGTAGATGCCAAACAGGCCGCACTGCCACGTGCCAGGTGGGGGAGCAGGCAGGAGCCTGCGGTGCCCGGAGGGCGCTTACCGCCTCCCTTGTCACCCCCACTCTCCCAGCGGACCTGGAGAAAGCGGCGGGCCCTGGTGTTTCTCAGACCTCCTGTGTTACTGTTACTCTGCTCACTACACGAAGAACTGCCCGTGTCCATCAGCACGTCAGTCTGTGTGACGGAAGATGGCGAGGTCTCTGCCTCCCTGTGACACTAGCCCAGCCACACTGCGGGTTGCAGGGAGGCCAAGAGCCTGGCTCACCACCTCCAGCCTGCGAGTGCCCAGAAGGGACAGTGCGCGGCTGCCTCTCGCCTGAAATCCGCCACCACTCCTCTCCACACCCGGTCCAGGCCGTCGGACTTACGTGTGGGGTCACTCTGGGGGGCCAGAACGCCTCCGTGACACAGGGGGGTACAGAGGGTGGCGAGATTCTGCTAAGACCATGGCTCTGCTTTGATTAGACCGGATCAGGACTGTGGACTGAAACCCACAGAGTAATAGTTTCCCTACCTCAGCCTTGATTTTTTCTTTTCAGTTTGCTATAGTATAGGGTGCATGCACTCACCAGAGGGAGAGAGAGAGAGGGAGCGGGAGAGGGAGAGGGAGAGGGAGAGGGAGAATCAACCCCAGGGAGATTCATGCCACAAGCCCTTCTCCATTCTCTTCCTGGGATTCAGGGCATACACACATCGGCACCTAGCATAATTTTCAAGCCACCAGGTCCAGGGCTCGAACCACGCAGTCAGCCATGTGGGATCCAGCTGCCTTAACCTCCACGTCATCTGCTGGCCTCCTACCCCGTCCTACATATGGGCCTCCAGAACGGGAAAAGGAAGACAAACACCGGTGTAAACAACAGTAAAGACGGAGGTGGTCCAGGGTACGTAGCACTTCCTGAAGTTCCTCTGTAAGCAGTTAAGACGGGCAGCTCTGCTGTCCTAAGAGAAAAGCCTGCCCTGAAGACAACACCCCCCTTTCCTGTTGCACATACTCGCGTCCTGAGGAGAGGTCTAAGCGGGAAGGCCGGGTAAGAGGATGAGAACAGCTGGGAGGGTAAGAACACCTGGGTCTCTGGGCAGAACTTCCGTGAGCCTCTGCGCACGCCTATGCTCCGACAGCCCCAGCACGTGGCCCCCTTCTGCGACCTGCCTCCCAGGGTTCCTTCTGCTGGGCTGCTGACACGGAACTGCCTCCCCCTCTCTGGAAGCCCCTTCGTTCTCGCTCACTACGGAAGCTCCAGTCTCTCCCACCCGTGTACCTCACCAGGCTATGGTGACTTATTTCCTGCAGGAGCAGAAAGGGCAGAAACAGAGAAGAGGCCAGAGTACCCACGTCTTCAGGCAATGTAGCCAAAGGCCAGACAAAAATAAGGGCCCCTGGTGGAGGAGTCCTGGCCAACACTGCCACACGCACTCGCTGACAAAGAACCTGGGCCCGCCCTTCCCCTCCTGCAGGCCTGACACGGAAACAGGAGCCTTCAGGGTCAGTCCCTGTGAGGTTCTGGGGAAGCCTGCCTACCGGGGAGGGTAGACCGTGGACAGGCTAGGCCGCTGCACACCCACTAAGAACCAGTAGGGCCGACTCTGCTGTCAACCCGTCCTAATAAGTAAAACGACCGACAGCGACTCTGTTACGTTGCCCAGAGTCCCTGTAGTTGCTAGCGCAGCCACAGGTGAAATCGGAACAAATGGGAATGTGACCAATCTTGACCGTGATTCCAATGACCGCAAATGGAATTATAAACATTGCCATGAAAGGATTTTTCTTCTAAAAATGGAAGCTTTCTGAATCAAAGTGATCTTTAAATATATATTATATATAAAAACATAATGCTTTTCTTATCTTCCTGGGGGCAATAACTCATCCAAGATTTAATGGGTTTTCTCCAAACCAATATCCAAAGAGCCACAGTAATTAAAGGCTTGAAAACATTCCCTACTGCTGTTTCTTTAGTTTGTCACAGGGTACATGCACTTGCCAGATAGAGAGGGGGAGAAAGAGAGAAAAGGAGGAGCGAGCAAGAGGACAAGAGAAAGAACGCACCCTGGGGGTGGCCACACCACCGTGCCTCTTCCTCCACTCCCCTCTTGGGATATTTGGCATGTACACACACGCCAGCAAGACTTCCCAAGCTTCAGGGTCTGGGACTAGAACTACGCGGTCGGCCATGGGGGATGGAGCCAGTGCCTTCACCACCACGCCGCCTGCTGGCCTTCCACTGCTACTACCACTGCACTCCTGCCTCGGAGGTGAGTAAACGGCACCGTAGGGAACATCGGCCTCTATGGAGAGATGTGCAGACGGTATCACCAGATTTCCTCACAGACCCGTAAGGGGATGACACCCAGAAGGTGGATCAGAAACTCAACCTGCTTATCAACTATGGCTGTTATCTTTGAGCAAGTTATGAAGTCTTTGGCTCTTGGGTTTTCTCCGTTTAAAGGAAGGCTACATGGGCTCTCCTGAGACGTTATGCCACCCGGCACTCAGCGGACCAGCCTGCGGTGTCAGCCCCACTGCTGACCGCACAGAGCACTCGGTCACTTACGGGAGCTTCATCCTCATGAACACTCTGGCCATGAAGAAGCTCAGCAGGACACAGACGAAGCCGATGAACAGGAGCAGGAACCTGTTGAGTTTGGGGATATTGGGTGCGTTGGAGCGGTCCAGGATGATGAAGCCTAAACCTCCCATTGTGAACAGGAAGCTGGAAGCCAGCCCTTCCATAATGTACTGTTTGTTTACCCTGAAAGGGAAAGACCGCAGCGGAGTGAGGCACGGAAGCTCTCGGAAGGGGAGCTTCCCCTTTAGGTTCGAAGTTCCGTTTCGGCTTTACGCTAAAACATCATGTGCTGATTTTTCATTCTTACTCGTACAAGTGTTACACTACATCTTCAGATATTTACTCAACAAACACTTAGTGAGACTCTACCATCGAGCACTGTCTGGGTTCTGGGGACACAAAGACAAAGAAAACAGACAAAATTCTGCGTTTATGTACGCCTACGTCCACAAAGTTTCAGAAATCCACATGAGAGGTCAGCCCACAGCCTAGTGGTGAGGGCAGCCGGATTCCACATGGTGGATGGAGGGGATTGAGTCCCACAGTAACGGCTCACAAACACACTGGGCGCCTGTCTCGTCCCCCCACACCCCGAAAAATCTCTTGGGCAAATGTACGCACCCTTTGGCAATTAAAAAAAAGTTAAGCTACTTAAATTTCAATGATCTGTTTCAAATTAATTTTTAATTGCTAGGAATGTTTCTTGAAGCTTTATAGTAAGTAGCTAATACACTTCATGTTTCAAAGGGAAATATTTTCAAAGCAAGTGTTCTTAACTATAAAGATCCATGAACTCCACAAGGACTTCATGCAAATTTTGTCTGTTTTTTTTGACAGATTTTTGTCATAAGGAATGTGCACCCACTGTAGAAAGACAGAAAGTGAGAAATCACCCCCCAGGGAGGATGACCATGCCACATTCCCTTCTCCTCCATCCTCCTCTCAGGATTTTGGACACACATGCACAAGCGCCGAGGATGAGTTTCAAGCCACTGAGTCCAAGACTCAAACTGCAGTCGACCAAGTGGGAGAACAGCACTTAACCACTACGCCACCTGCTGGTCCCATGATGTCATGTAAATTTGTAAATATGTGCATCTGATTTTTCTAGGGATGCAGAACTTTGAAGAAATTCTTAGAATTCAAGAACCTCAAAAAGTACATTTCTGTTAAACAGATAATTGTACAGGAACACATTTAAAGAAGGTATTTTTCATTAACTAACTGCTTTCATTGAAAATGCAAAATATACACCAGGTTCAAAAGTCAAACAGTACAGAGACCAGCAGTTAGCGTAATGGCTATGTCGCTGGACTCCCACGTAGTCGATCGCGGTTCGAGGCCCAGACCCGGTAGCTTAAACTCACGCCAGGCGCGTGTGCATGCGTGTGGGCCCAAGATTCTGAGAGGAGAATGGAGGAGAAGGGATTGCGCCGTGGCCATCCTCTCTGGGGGGTGATTTCTCGCTTTCTATCTCTCTGTCTCTGTCTGTCTGGCGAGCGCCCACGCCCTATAGCAAAAACCTCTCCAAAAAAAAAAAAGTCAAGCGTACAGAAAGGACACGAAATGGGTCTCTAGCACCCACTGCCTGTCACCGAGCTTCCTCCCAAGAGTCCCAGTGAACCTTCCCAGGAACGTTTTATGAATAAAGTGATGCTATAACATATGACGTGTTTCGATGTTTGTCAAGGGTTTTGGAAAACAATGCCATAATCATTTGTAGGTGAACCAAACCAAGCCAGAACAGCGCCTCACGGCTGACACGGGCTAGCACGGAGTCCTCGCGTCTCAGCCGCTGTGGTTCTTTGCGGCACGTGCTTCTGTAAATGCCCGTACAGTACACATCTTACGCTGCAGGCCACGTGGTCTGTGTTTCGCTTACTTAGCTCAGCCAGACGATATGTAAACAAACGGGTGGGCCTAACTCCACCACAACTTTATAGATGAAAAAGACAAGTAGCTAGTTTGCTGCCCCAGAAGAGTCTAGAAATTTATTTCTGACTGACCCTCTCCTTAAGTGACATGCTAATCATTGTGGAATACTTTATTTCCTAATAAATGAATAAGTAACACACCTCCACTGTTACCTGCTTCCTGCCGCTTCGAATTCAACATTTCAAACAGCTGCTGTCCAACAGGGGCCCACAGGTCTTTCTGAAATTTTTTTTTTTGCAGAGGTTTTTGCTACAGGGTGCGTGCACTCACCAGACAGACAGAGAGAGACAGAGAGACAGAAAGCGAGAAATCGCCCCCCAGGGGGGATGGCCACGCCACAATCCCTTCTCCTACATTCTCCTCTCGGGATCTTGGGCACGCAAGCACATGCGCCCAGTGTGAGTTTAAGCTGCCGGGTCCGGGACGCGAACCGCAGTCAACTACGTGGGAGTCCAGCGACATAGCCATTACGCTAACTGCTGGTCCCCTAGTTTTTTTCTTTTTTAAGAATTATTTTTTATTTAACTTTATTTATTTGTTAATCCATTCCAGCTTGACCAGCATTGGGGGGAGAGGAGAGAAAGTGAGAAAGAAAGTCGCCAGGTCCAGGACTGGAACCAGTCGGCCACATGGGAGTCCACCGCCCTTAGCCACCATGCCACCTGCCGGTCCCTCTTCCTGTGTTGTAATAAGCAGGCCTGCCCCAGAGGCCTCCGCACCACACAGCTCTTACCTGTAGGCGAGGAAAGCCACCGGCCGCTGATGCCCGTGCTCATCCGTCATAGAGCCGACACTCGGAGGTTCAACGATAACGTCGTAGATTATCCCTGTGCACAAAGACAACGGGGCGGGTCAGACTGCTTCCGAATTGTTGAAAACAGGATAATAATTTTCATCACCTCTAAAGCGTCACTTAAACAGAACTGCTTTGATTTTATGACTATAATGAAATGAGGCTCAGCTCATCTCGGCTTCCAATACAGCACTAAACATTTAACTCGATGTTTCAGAATGACTGATGACGTAACCATTTCTCTAAAAGAGGTACACATTTCATAAAGGAGAATCATTTACTAATTCTCAAAAATGGCTCTACGGGGGCCAGTGGGCGGCATGGTGGTTAGGGCGCGGGGTCCCCACGTTGCGGAACGTGGACCTGATAGCTTGGAAACTGCACCAGGAGCATGTGCGAGTGCCAGAATCCTGAGCAGGACGGAGAAGCGACTGTGGATGGCCATCCCCCGGGGGCCATCTCTCACTGTCCCTCCTCTGTCCCTCTGCGGAGAGTGCACACATTCTGTGGCACAAACCTACCCAATTAAAAGGCTCTATAATAAAGGGAACTTGGGACCAGCAGTTAGCGTAATGGCTATGTCGCTGGACTCCCACGTAGTCGACCGCGGGTCCGCGTCCGGACCCGGTGGTTTAAAACTCACGCCGGGTGCGTGTCTTCATGCCCAAGATCCCGAGAGGCGGCGTAATGGCTATGTCGCTGGACTCCCACGTAGTCGACCGCGGGTCCGCGTCCGGACCCGGTGGTTTAAAACTCACGCCGGGTGCGTGTCTTCATGCCCAGGAGCCCGAGGGGAGAATGGAGAAGGGATTGCGGCGTGACCATCCCCTCTGGGGGTGATTTCTCGCTTTCTGTCTCTGTCTGTCTGGCGAGCGCCCTATAGCAAAAAAACCTCTCTAAAAAAATTAATAAATAAAGGGAACTTCATGTTAAGGCTATTCAGTTTATAAATACTGTTCCGTGTATTCCTAGATCTGTGTATAAGTTGAGAGGTGACTAGAGAAATCATCTAGCTTAAATGTAAAACAACGAGCTTTTTTTTTTATAAGAATTGTTTATTTAATTTTATTGTTCCATCTGCTCTCACCAGAGAGAGAAAGTGAAGAAACCAGCTGCCAGGTCGGCCTGTGGGAGTCCAGGGCCTCGACCGCCCCACCCCTGCTGGCCCACAATGTGCAGTTTAAGTCACGCCCTGAGGCAGGCCGGCTACTGGAGCCTGGGGCCCTCATCGCGCCAGAGCCCCATCGTGGTCATCCATGTTCATCGACATGGAGTCTTCTCACTCTCCACCTTCACCTACTTCACCCCAACGTCCTCAGACAGCTCACCTCGGCCCTTCCTGAGCACAGCGAGCCCCTGTCCCCTCACCCCAGCTGACAAGCCAGCGCACAGGACTCCCCCAGCTCACATCTCAACCTGCGCACAGCTGACCCCGCGCCCCTCACCTCCTTCCCCACTGCACCAGAGGGACCCGCAGCAGTGATCAGGACCCCAGCCCCTCCGGCCTTCTCGGGACTTTAGGCCTCTGGACCTCTCTCCTGTGTTTTCCAGCTCTCCGTCCCCACTTCAACCGTCCCTTGACTCCGGCCCTTCCCTGCTAATGTCCCATTCCTGTGCGTCCTTTCCAACAGGGAGTCGGACTTCCTCGTGGAGAGAATTAGGCAAACTCGTCCTCCCTTCCACCCCTACCCTCACCCTACAACTTCCGCCAGCCCGGCTTCTGCTTCCACTGAGGTTGCCTCCAACGGATGCTTCGTTCTTACTCAGGACCCTGACTCCCCAGGTGCACGGCCTCCTCCTCAGCGAATGCATCTCTTGGGGAACACCTCCACATCCCTGCTCAAACCGAACCCCGAGGAGCTCACGACTCCGTGAAGATACTGGCACGCCAACGGCTCTCACAAGGCCCGTGTCGTGTCGGTCACCGGTCAGGCCTGCAGACTGGGAACACTGCTCGTGTCCGGTGTCCCGCCCACGGGTTCAGTTAACACCAACTGACCAACCTCCACACAGCCCTCTTCCCTCAGTTTTGGACGAGTACCGGCAAATCTGATCTATCCGGCTAGTGGCGTCCCAAAGTGACCCCTGTGTTACCATTCCCCACCAAACACTTGAGAAACGACACTTCCTTCTACCTGGTGCTTGTTCACCTTCACCCAGTTATCATCCAGACCTATCGGATCTGCTGCCAGGCTGTCCTTCATGACATGACCCCTCACCTCTGCTGCCACCAACCTGGTACAGTCCACACCGACGAGAAGAGCCGTGGCCCACTCTCCCTCTGCCAGCCTGCACCCCCAGCCCCCGGCCTCGGCTCCCACGACGCCTCTCAGGGAGCCACCGTCAAGCTAAGTGATGCCCCAGCCCCCACTGTTTTCTTAGGACCTCCCGCTGCCTTCCTTCGTGCACTTGTGACAGTTCACGTGATGTTTAACGTGTCCACTATGGTGACATAAGCTGCAGAAGAAAAGGGTCCTCACGTTTCGTGGGTTACCCCCAGCAGCGGGTGCCTGGAACGTAACAGGCACTCGATACATTTGCTGACTAGTTCTCAGAAATAATACTTATTTGTAAAAGCACACACAGTGTTTAGAAGAAACTCCTTTCCAGTGGCAAAACCAATTTGTCACAGAAGATACTTCACTGACTAGGCCACTTCGAGGCGTCTGTCCACTTTCCCCCACTGGTTGGGGCAGAGACTCTCATGACAACGATCAACAGGAAAAACGTGGTTGGATTCAACATTGAAGCTTCTGGAGCTCGGCCACATGGGAGTCCACCGGGTACTGGACTCCTATGTGGTTGACCGTGGTTCGAGACCTGGGCCTGGTGGCTTGCTTTCTCACTTTCCCTCTGTCTGTCTTTCTCTGGTCAAATTTAAAAATAAAAATAAATAAATAATTCAAAAAAGAAACCTCAAAAAACAGGAGGGACCAGCAGTTAGCGTAATGGCTTATGTCGCTGGACTCCCATGTAGTCGACCGCGGTTCGCTTCCCGGACCCGGTGGCTCAAAACTCACGCTGGGCGTGTGTGTGTGTGTGTGCCCAAGATCCCGAGAGGAGAATGGAGAAGGGATTGTGGTGTGACCATCCCCCCTGGGGGGGTGATTTCTCGCTGTCTCTCTGTCTCTCTCTGTCTTTCTGGCGAACGCACGCGCCCTATAGCGAAAAACCTCTCCAAAAAAAAGAAAAAAAAGAAAGAAAATGGAAGCTTCAAAGGAAGGAGCCATCTCCACGGGAAGTACTGGTTACAGGGCAGACTGGAAGACGCAGACCAAGTGCTCACTCTAAAGCCACATGCACTTGAAATCACAGTGACTCAAGGCAGCTTCTGACGTCCTGTACGGCTGATGCAGACACCATGCTCCGCAGTGTCTTACCATGGCTTCCATTTGAAGGAGCCTAAATTAACGCCGGCTAGTCAGGGCTGAGGGGAGGGGGGCCCTCTGGAGCCCTTTGGATTGCGGGGTTGTCCCCTCCTCACTGCCGACTACACTAAACCTCTATGCACACGCTGACTCCATGGCTATCCCCTCGAAGGGAGGACCCCTCCTGCGCTTTATTTTCATCGTCCGCGAATGAAATACTCCACTTCCCCAGTCTGTAAGTCAGCGGCCCGATGACAGGGTGGTGGCTGAGAAGCGGCGGTCCCCTGCCAGCTCACCCGCATCCGCGGCAACGCCCCTCTGCAACTTTCTATTTGCGAAGGACAGCATAAGGAAGCCGGCCACTCGCAGGTGTTTACCCATGCGATTTCTTCGCTTTCACAACGCTCAGCTTCTGCCGCTGAAACACAGTGGCTCTGCAGATGTCACCTCCAGCCCTGCAGCAGAGCCAGGCGTGGGAGCCCACTCGGGAACAGGCGAGGCAGAGCAGCGCAGGCCCCGTGGCGCCAGCTCACGGCTAAGCACCTGGCCTCTCCGCAGGGGCCGGATTCCAGGAGGACGAAGCCCGCAGCCCCGAGTGAGCACGGAGGCCGGGCGGGCCACCCTGGACGCCGCGGGCGTCTGCCCTACCTCGCGTGCCAGGCGAGCAGCTAAGAGCGGGGACAGACAGCGCCGATCGGCGCTTGAAAGGTACATTGGACCCGGTCTCCCGGACAAGGGGTTAAAAAGAGGCAAAGCAAAGACAGCGAGAAGCGAGCTCTGCCAGCCAGGACCGGGCGAAGGCCAGCCACGTCGCGGGACCCCGGTCCCTGCAGCCCCGAGGCGGCCGGTTACCTCCGGTGATGAGGAAGTAGGACACCACCACCAGGGCGTACACCGTCATGGCCGAGGGCATGTGCACCCACGGCGGCTTCTTCAGCTTCAGGTTGGGACATTCGAGCACCAAGAACGGGACGCGGTACAAAGTCTCCATGTTGGCAGCGGCAGGGCAACTCGGCCTGCGGCCCCACGCGCCGCCGGAAACGGACCCGCCCTCGCTGCCTGCCGCGCGTGCGCGGGGAAGGCCGGGGCAGGTCGGAGAAGACCGCGGCAGATGATGTAGCCAGAGAAGGAAAGTCTAAATCATCTAAAGCGAATAAATACTATGATCAAATATCATAATTTATTTAAATTTCTTACATTGATATTGGAATAAAAAGCTCCGTTTGTTATCAATGAATAACTCGGGTGTTTATGTACCTTCCAGGACCCGCAAGGCTTCCGACGTGGCCGAGCCAGAGCCGCAGGCCTCCGCCGAACCCCCCCCCAGGGAGCCGCTGAAGCTGATTGGACGCCGGCGCTCAGAGTCCCGCTCGCTGACGCACAGGCCGCTGAAGCTGATTGGACGCCGGCGCCCAGAGCCCCCTGGCTGGGGCAGGGGCCATGGATGCTGATTGGACGCCGGCGCCAGAGTCCCAGATTCGCGGCATGAATGGGGACGCTGGGAAGCGGTGCCTTTACGATTAGCGGGTTTTTCGAGAGTGTGAGAAAGCCGCAGGTGGCTGCGCGCTTCCTTTCTGATGCGCAGTGATGGTAGTAACGACTGTTACATTTGCCAAAATGAGACACTGCCGATTGAAGAAGTTTTCAGCCCAGATCTGTCACACATGCGAACAGGACACCTGCCAGGGGGAGCTTTAATCCTGCCACCTTGGCTCGACCACGCTACTTCAAACGTCTGTTTTCATTCGAGTTCCTTTAAAGTGGCTGGTGACAAAAATCCAGCACCGGCGGACACACTGCTGAGTCTTTGTTTTTATGTTTTGTGTTTGCTTGTTACTGGACCCATGGTTATTTACAGGATGCCATAAATTGTCCCTGCATGTTAAATTAGTTAATTGGATCAAGGAATCAACTATGGAGAAATAGTTTAAAGACTATAATAATAAAAATTGTCGGGACCAGCAGTTGGCGTAATGCCTGCCGCTGGACTCCCATGTAGTCGACGGTTCGAGTCCCGGACCCTGCGGCTTAAACTCACGCCAGGCACCTGTGTGTGCGTGCCCAAGATCCCGAGAGAAGAACGGAGGAGAAGGGACCGCGGCATGGCCATCCCCCCTGGGGGGTGATTTCTTGCTTTCTGTCTTTCTGGCAAGGGCTGGCACCCTATAGCAAAAACTTATGGAAAAAAAAAATTGTCTTAGGGCCAGCTGGTGGTTAAGGCAGCTGGACTCCCACATGGCTGACTGGTTTGAGTTCTGGACCTGGCAGCTTGCTTTCTCGCTTTCTTTCTCTCTATGATCAACTTCAACAAAATAAATAAATAAATAATAATGACAATGAATAAAATTAAATAAACAATTACTTTTTAAAATGTTGTAAACATCGTAGCATTAATTCTAAGCAAGACTTGCTGCTCTTATAGTTCAATAGTGAAAGTATATACAGCCTGAACCTGGGTCCCCTTGGATTCTGAAGGGGCCCCTGAAAACTCCAGTAATGAGATACGTTTATGCCAGACTCCGCAGCAGTCAGAACCTAGAGTCTAGTGTAAACGTAAAACAGATTCAAGATGATTAAGATGGTACCAGTTTACGTGCTTATCCTTCCTCCGGTATATTCCAGGGTCAAATAATTCTGTACACATTGAAGGAAATACAGAAATTATTACTATGTAAATTCCAATAAAAATGAGTAAGAGAGACTGCCAAGTCAGGACACGTCACATTCGTCTCTCTTGGATAGTGACCATCACTTTTTAAAAGGTATTTCTTCTGGGGGGGGGGACGAAGAGACGTCCTCCACAGAGCCCCCACGTTGCCACCTTCCCTCCCAGCCCTGATCACAGGTGCATGCACAGGAGCGCCCACCCCTGTGCACGGGGAGCCTTGGACTGCAAACCCAGGGCCTCCCCTACGGCCTCGGAACTGGCGCAGCTGGCCTTCTGTGGCTCTCTTACCCATGTTCTGAAAGGGACGTTTCTGCAGCTTCCTGTTAGTTAATGTTTTGTTTTAGCATCATAAATTTACAAATATTTTTCAATGTGAGTTTTTAATATTCCCCAAGGCAGGCACGACAGAAATATTTCAAGAGTAAGTGTGGGGCCAGAAGGTGGTGTGGTGGTGAAGACACTGGACCCCACATGCCTGACCACAGTGCAAGTCCCAGGTTCAG